CCTAGACGAAGCATTGCACGAAACTTCTCAAAGAGTACACGCGGAAGACTTTTCGTGAAGAAATCTGCCACTTGAAGATTGGTTGGAACAAACTTTGTGTATAATTTGCCCGAGCTGATAAGCTCCCGGATAATATGATAATCTAAGTCAATATGTTTGACACGCTTATGTGAGATGGGATTCTAAGTCATAAATAGAGCACTCTTGTTGTCACATAGAAAAGTAGGACGATCCGGTGGTAAAGCATGCAACTCCCGTAGGAGATGAGTGATCCAAACAATTTATGCAGTTGTGTTTGCCATTGCTCTATACTCATATTCACTATTAGACCTTGAGACAGTAGGTTGTTTCTTGGCACTCCAGGAAACAAGATTTCCACCAAGAAACACCGAGTAGCCATAAGTGGAGCAACATGTTTCCAGACAACGAGCCCAGTTAGCATCAGAGTAGCCTACTACAGAAGCTTTGTGAGGACAACTATAAGTGAGACCGAATGAAATTGTGCCTTTAACATATCTAAGGATTCTCTTAACAGCCTGGAAATGATCGATAGTTTGAGCATGAAGAAACTGAGATACTTGAGTAACAACATAAGATAAGTCTGTTTTAGTTATTGTTAAGTACTGAAGAGCTCCAACTAAAGACCGATAGAGTGTAGGCTCAGAATAGGGCAAACCATCAATTGTGAAGGATTCATGAGGAGCTAGAGGTGTGCTGACCGGTTTAGAGTCTAAGAGCTCGGCCCAGATAAGAATTTCTCTAGCATATTTCGTCTGTGTGAGGAATAGACCATTTCCTATGTATGAAACTGCAAGACCGAGAAAGTAATTTAGTTCTCCAAGGTATTTGATGGCAAATTCGTGATTGAGATGAGATGTAAAGGTGGCAATGGCAGTCTCACTGTTTCCCGTAAGAATGAGATTATCTACATACACAAGCAAGTACAAAATACATGATTTTCAGATGAAAACAAAGAGTGAAGTGTCTACACGGCTGCATGTAAACCCATAAGAAAAAAGAAAAGTGCTTGACCATTGAAACCATTCACGTGGTGTCTGCTTCAATCCATACAAAGCCTTTGATAATTTGCATACATGATTAGGAAACTTAAAAATTATGAATCCCGGAGGTTGTTCCATGAATACAGTCTCATTTAAGTTACCATTCAAAAATGCGTTTTTGACATCCAATTGGTGCAACTTCCAATTATTCAAGATTGCAAGAGATATGACAATTCTGACTATGGATGCTTTGACGACCAGACTAAATGTGAGAGAGTAATTGGGATCCAGGATTTTAGTGTATCCTTGTGAAACTAATCAAGCTTTTTAGCCTTCGATGGTTCTGTTTGAGTGATATTTGATGCGATAAACCCATTTGGACCCTACAATGTTGGTGTGACATGGACGTGGTACTAGCGTCCATGTTTGATTTTGTTGTAAGGCCTCAAATTCTTCATGCATGACATCCACCCATTTGGGATCTTTGGTTGTCGTTGTAAATCATCATGGTTTAGTTGAAGATGTTAAGGCGACATGAAGAGCGTTAGTAGCTAGTGTAGCGAGATCGACTTGATGTTTGGGTCTGAAAATGTCAGCCTTTGATCTTGTTATCATAGGATGACTTGAGATAAATGTATCAAATGGTGACATAGGCGATGAGGTGCTCTTGATAGAATTTGCAGGTGGTATAGACGTCGATCATCAGAGAATGGAGTAGGCGAATCAGATGGTTCAGAATTAGTAGGAACCGTATGATCCTATTCAGGTGGCACAATAACAGGTGGATCCAGAATGTCATCAAGTGACTTGCATAGAGTACATAGTGAGGATTCAGTAGTACTCTTATATGAAGATAAATGAGTTTTGTCAGAATGAGCACTAGTAGTCGGCACATTAGAAGAAGATGAAGGCTGTGGAAAATCTTCAAGAAAGGTAGTAAGAGTCAACTAAGATATGTTCGTGTCAGGAGATATACCATGAAATGGAAAAACTTTTTCATTAAACCTTGCATGTCTAGTGACAAAGACACGAGAAGTTGTTGAATCGAGACACCTGTACCCTTTATGTTGCTGACTATACCCAATAAAAACACATGAGATGCTTCGAGGTTCAAGTTTGTGTTTAGAATTGTCGCACAAATAAAGGAATACCTGACAACCATACATGCAAAAGCTGGCATATTGTGGATCCTGATTGAAGATCAACTAGAATGGTGACTTGTTGGATAATAACGGAATGGGTAAACGATTGATTATGAATGTAGCGGTCATAAATGTATCCACCCAACAACATGCATGAACTTTAGCATTAAATAACATTGCTAATCCAGTTTCCACAATGTGCCTATGTTTTCGTTCCGCACGACCGTTTTGTTGAGGGGTGTACAGACAAGAAAACCTTTGAAATATGACATTATCTTCAAAAATAATTTAGGATTGTGTGATTCACAAATTCCGTTCCACCATCGCTTTGAAAAACCTTTATCTTTCTGGAGCATTGGGTTTGAACAAGATTAATAAGGACGGGTAGGATCGAATAGAAACCTATTTTGGTTTTAAGTGGATAAAACCACATAAACCTGGAGTAATCATCAATAAACGCAACATAATATCGATAACCATCTTTAGAACAAATGGGAGTCGGTCACCATAAATCACAATGTATTAAGTATAAAGGTTGAGATGAACGTTTGTAATTTAGATTGAAAGATAAATGTTGCCCTTTTGCAAGTTGACAAGAAGTGCAAACAATAGGTTTCGGTAACAATGAAGTAATAGATAAAACACCTAACCTATTTAAAAGTGAACTAATATCAAAATACACATGGCCTAAACGAGCATGTCATAACTCATAAGAAGCTCGAGTTGAAACTCCAGAGGTAGCAACCAAGGCTTCGGGTTCATCCTTCAACACATAAAGACCATTTTGACAGCTTCCTTTAGCAAGTACCCGTTTTGTTTTCCGATATTGAATGGCAAAAAAAGGTTGAGAAAAAAAGACATCAACATGATAGTCTTTGGTAAGCTTGCTAACAGACAATAAGTTCTTTGTGATATTAGGAGTGACAAGAAAATAACTTAAAGGAATGTTATTGGATAGAATAGAAGAACATGTATGAGTAATTGGAAGCTTTTTCCATTTCCAAATATTACTTCATTGTTACCTTGGTATGGTGTTGAATGATGTAGAGTGTCATGATCGGGATTCATGTGATCCGTACCCCTTGAATCAACATGCTAATATGGGTTGTTGGTGGTGACATGACATTGAGGATGAAAGGCCTTTGATAAAGTTTCACCTGAGGAAGAGGCTTGACTGGCATAAGTGTGAAGATTGGGACAAGAAGACACATAATGTCCATTGTTTCTGCAGAGTTGGCAATGGGGAGGTCGTCTCTCTTGACCACGTCCTCTGCCACCTCTAAAATTGTTGCTATGGTAAGAGGTGGAACATCCCCGACCTTGAGATGAATTGTTCTGTTGAACGTGAAAGGCAGTCGGAGGACTAGGAGCACCATGGATAGATTGCAAAAATAATTTGTGGCTTTCTGCTTGAGTAACCAGATCATGAAACACAGGTGTTGGATTTGTGGCTCGAATTGCTATGGAGAAAGTTTCATATGATGGCCCTAAACCAAAAAAAAAACCAGTGCAGTTTGTCAATTTCAACAACTAGGTGACCGATGACAGATAGTTGGTCACATATAGCCTTGAAAAGAAGACAATAATCAGGAACAATTGTTGTTCCTTTGGTAAGCTAACAAAGAGAATTATGCAATGATTGGATGCGTTCGACAGAGAAATTACTATAAGCAGTCTCGAGTGCTAGCCAAATCTACCAAACACTGGAGAGACCAAGTACTTCGGCCGTTGATTCTTCTATGGGAGAGGAGTGCAGAAGAATAATGGCACGTTGATCAACATCTCTCCAAGTAGCAAGTTCAGGATTTAGAAAGGTCTTGTTTTCCTCGGTAAAGGTAGGTGATGGTGAAGAAGAAGTACCATTAATATGACCTAATAGTTGTTGATAGGTAAAGATGGGAAGCATTTGATTTCGCAGAGAAGGTAATTACTTGATGAAAATTTGATTGTCAGCATGTGTAATAAGGTATTCATGGAGAAAGGGCCATCGGTAGAGTGGGAGGAAGACGAGGGGGCATGATAAGATCCTAGGAGATGAGCATTTTCAGATGTCAGAAAATCGAAGGGGAGAAGAGAGATACAAATGGTTGATACCATGTAAGCAATTGATAAATTCAACCATATCGTATATTGATATTACCAAAACAATATATATGGATGTTTACAACAATTACTCCTATGATAAAAGAGCTAAACTAGGATATGTGTTGTCCTCTGATAATATGTTTTTTAGATTGTTGAGATTTGTTAATTTGATACTTTTATTTTAAAGGTAAATGATGTGGATTTAAGAATTGTGTTGTTGTTGTTGGATGTGTTTGTGGTGGTTTAGGATTTGCTGATAATTTTAAAACCAATAATAATAATTTGATTAAATTTTATTTAAAAAAAAATCCACATATACACTATGTCAGAGCTATGCAAATGAATATAGATAATTCTTCTTTTGCCTATACGCATACCACACATGTTGTAACTTACTGAACCTGTTACAACCAACCAACTGTAATGAGTAAATCGATAAAATTAGCAAACTTTAAAATCTAATTTAACATAATTGAAACTTTGAGGGCTAGATTATGAAATTTTAAATACTTTTATGGTCAATTAAACAACTATGCTTGCAGTATAAGCTCCAAAATGTACAAAATTTATTGCCAAGGTCTAAACAATAATTTCCAAATAGTAGAAGGTCTGGAAAGTCATTTCAATCATATCGAAGACAGAGATTCTTCCTATCTTGTCGACACGACATCCATAACAACAACGTTATCTTTCCAGATTTAAAACTACAAAACCCAAATCACGTACAGCTTATAATGCACAACGTACAAGCTGCAAAGGATTTACCATAATCATGCATCGTCTCTTCTCAGCCTATAAAAACCGTACAATCACTCATCAACTTTTCTCTGCGTGCTTCCACCCAAAAACACAGATGTTGAAATTTGTTTTTCTTCATGTTTTCTTCTTCTTCATCATTAATTTTGAATGTTCAAATGGGTTTTCAGATTATGATGCTTTAATGAAGCTCAAAGCTTCAATGGTGGCATCAAACACCTCTGGAATATTGGACGACTGGAAAGTCGAAAACTCACACTGTTCGTTTTCCGGAGTTTCATGTGATGAAAACTTTCGTGTCACGTCGTTGACGATATCTTACGTTCCTATGTTCGGAACTATTCCGCCGGAGATCGGAATTCTGAACAAACTGGTCAATCTGACGCTTGTATCGGATAACCTCACCGGTCCACTTCCGGTGGAAATGTCTAATTTGACGTCGATTAGATTCATCAACATCTCTAGTAATGTTTTCACTGGGGAGCTTCCGGGAGAGATTGTGGCGGGAATGGCGGAGCTGGAGGCTTTCGACGTTTACAACAATAATTTCACTGGGAGGTTGCCGGTGGAGTTTGTGAAGTTGAAGAATCTGAAAATTTTGTATCTCGGAGGTAATTTCTTCAATGGAGAGATTCCGGAAGATTACTCGGAGTTTCAGAGTTTACAGATTTTAGGTTTACAACAAAATGAACTCTCTGGGAGGATTCCGGCGACCTTATCACGTGTATCGACTCTTGATCAGCTTCTCATCGGGTATGCCAACAGTTATGAAGGAGGAATTCCGACGGAGTTTGGTTCTTTCAAATCACTAAAACTACTAGACCTCGGAGGTTGTAATCTCAACGGAGAAATTCCGGCAAGCCTTGGAAATTTGAAGATGTTGCATACTCTATTTCTTCAGTTCAACAATCTAACCGGAGAAATACCTCCGGAGCTTTCCGGAATGGTCAGTTTGATGTCGTTTGATCTGTCGAATAACAATCTAACCGGTGGCATACCGGAGACGTTCTCGGAACTGAAAAATCTAACGTTGATTAGTCTGTTCGGCAACCGTCTCGCCGGTCCTCTTCCTCCGTTCATCGGTGATCTCCCGAATCTTGAAGTTCTTCACATCTGGGAGAATAATTTCACGTTTGAACTCCCGCAGAATCTCGGCAGTAACGGCCGGTTACTTATGCTCGACGTCACCGGAAACCACCTTACCGGACCAATTCCGAAAGATTTGTGCAAAGGAGGTAAAATTCTCGTATTTAATTATTGCAAAAACTTTTACACTATACATAGGAATATGAAGAATAATAGTAATTTAGATATTAGAATAACAATGGAATCACGGAATTTAATGAGTGTTGGCGTTGATCTCAGGCAAGTTACGACTTTTGATTTTAATGGAGAATTACTTCTTTGGGCCCTTACCGGAAGAACTTGGCAGTTGCAAGTCTTTAACGAAGATTCGAATCATGAAGAATTTCATCAACGGAACTATTCCCGCCGGCATCTTTAACTTGCCGGAGCTTACCATGCTCGAGCTTGACAACAACTATCTTACCGGTGAACTTCCTGATAAAATGTACAGTCAGTCTCTTCAAAGTGTTTCAATGTCTAACAATTGGATCACCGGTAAGATACCTCCGGCGTTTGGTGATTTACCGAATCTAACAACTCTATCTCTCCAATCAAATAAGTTCGTCGGTGTAATACCAGAAGAGATATTGAAGCTGAAGAAATTGTATGAAATTAACGTCAGCGACAATAATCTCAGTGGTGAGATTCCAGCTTCCATTGCTACAAGTGTTCAACTTACTTCCATCGATTTCAGCCGAAATAACTTCATTGGTGAATTCCCGAGAGGAATTTTAAGTTTGTTCAATCTGAACATACTTAATGTATCTCGAAATCAACTCAAAGGTGAGATTCCGACGAAATTAGGTCACATGAAGAGCTTGACAGTGTTAGACCTCTCCTACAATCAATTCTCCGGCAGAGTCCCAATCGATGGACAACTAAAGGATTTCAGCAACACTGTCTTCTCCGGGAATCCTAACCTCTGTTTACCACAAATGGCTCATTGTCCGATCATCTCCACGTCTCAAAACAACAACCGTTCAATCACCACATCAAAGCTTATGATAGTCATCATCGCTGTAATCACAGCCATATCATTATTCATACTAACATTCATCAAAATTAAAAACAAACACTTCGAGAGATCCAAAGTCTGGAAGCTAACCACATTCCAACGCTTGGATCTAAAAGTTGAAGACGTTCTCGAATGTTTGAAAGATGAAAACATAATCGGTAAAGGTGGAGCTGGAATTGTATACCGAGGATCAATGGCGAATGGTGTTGACGTAGCAATCAAACGGTTAATGGGTCGGAACCATGGATTCGACGCCGAGATCCAAACGTTGGGAAAAATCAGGCATAGGAACATCGTCAGATTACTCGGATACGTCTCCAATCGTGAAAACAAATTGCTGATTTACGAGTATATGTCTCATGGAAGCTTAGGTGAGATTTTACACGGATCGAAAGGCGCACATTTGCAGTGGGAAACAAGGTATAAGATCGCTATAGAATCAGCGAAGGGACTGTGTTACCTTCACCATGATTGCTCTCCGATGATCTTACATCGAGATGTGAAGTCAAACAATATACTTTTGGATTCCGATTATGAAGCTCATGTTGCTGATTTTGGGCTCGCTAAGTTCTTGAGGGATAATCATTCTGGTGCTTCCGAATGCATGTCCTCCATTGCAGGATCATATGGGTACATTGCACCAGGTACAAGTTTCTATTGCATGTTGCCAATATATATTATTTGTTTTATACTTGTAATTTTGTATATGTATATATTAACTACAAATTTGTATTTTTTTTTGTACTACAGAGTATGCATACACATTAAAGGTGGACGAAAAGAGTGATGTATACAGTTTTGGAGTTGTACTTCTTGAACTGATAGCAGGAAAGAAGCCGGTTGGGGAATTTGGTGATGGGGTAGACATAGTGAGGTGGGTTCGAGAGACCATATCGGAGCATTCTGAGCCATCGGATGAGATGTCAGTACTAGCGGTGTTGGATTCGAGGCTCAAAGTGTACCCATTGGCAACCGTCATTAACCTCTTCAAAATCGCCATGAGTTGTGTGGAGGATGAGAGCACTGCTCGGCCTACCATGAGGGAGGTTGTTCACATGCTCACAAACCCTCCGAAATCGCAACCACAAACCCAACCATGCTTGCTCACTCCTTGAAGAAATTGTTATCTAACTTGTTTGTTGATGTTTTGATGGAAGTTTGGAATAAGTTTGACACTTTGTGACTCGAAAATACACAAAGTCATGTATGCACATCTTTTTTTTTTTTTTTTAATTACATATGATCATTAATGATGATTGTTTATTAAATATGTTATCAGTATTATTTAGTTAATATTTACTATGAAACATTAGTTATTGATACTTAATTGTCCCTTATACATGATGTAGCATAATCTTTATTTAATACGTAACTAAATCAGCCAAATTTATATCACAACCATACAACAAAGGAAATAAGGCTATACAGACAAGTAGTCAAATGTTTCTATTTCTTATGAGACAACTTAGAAATGTTAGAGGTGCATTTTAAACGAAATTAAAGGTCTAATGTATACATACAAACATATAACTCAGAATGACTATCAAGTTTAATTAATGACAAGCTCACTTTCAAAATGCTATCCACTTCCAAAATGTCATCCAATTCATAAGTCTTTGCTGTCCAAAAAAATCAATATTAATACATCACACCAAAAAGGCAAAAATTCAATATAAAACCATGAGAAGAAAAGTACCTTTCAATCGATATTGTTGGTGCAAGCGGAGCTGTAGTCGGAAGCTCGGAAGACATGGCAGGAAGTATTAAAAAAGGTTAAAATAAGCATCTTATATGTATAAAGGACAGACCATACAAAAAAAAAAATAATTAAATTACATGTAACAAAATGCAAAGTTGGACTAACGTAAAGTTCATGAAATGAATTGTAAACATAAAAACTTCCATAATTAAAGATGAGTTTACAACGTAATTTTTCACTCCATTTCAATAAATATTAAATAGAATGAACATTCACTTGTTCAATTTCAAAACAGTAACCAATCCAAGTGTAACAGTTTCAATCACTCCTACATTCTAACCCTTACATTTTTAGTATGCACAATTCATAAGCCAAACTCTACTTTAGTTACCATTTCATAAACCAAACTCTAATTTAGTTACCATGGCATTTTCTAATTCAAACACCAAATCCCACATATATCTTTGTTGTTGTAATGTCATAAACCAAAACAACTTTCTTAAATCTAGAGATGAAAAGGGAATGACAAAAGATATGAAATCATACCTTTTAAGCAATCCAACTTTGGCTGTCGTTGGATGCTTGAAAATGCAGATTTGAAGTTATCAAGTGTCATGAAACCAGATTTCGAATCCATCAAACTTACAACTGAAAACCTAAATTTAAAAAAAAACTAGAGAAGTGGACCTGCAAGCGGATTTTACTCTTTCTGATCTTTGAGCAGGTTTCCTCTGCAGAAAATGCTCCTCATTAGCATGTTTATCGAGTAAGTGTCTAAAATTAATAACAAAATTAATCCAAATTTTATAGCTAAAAATACCTTGATCTTGAGCCTGAGAGGCTGCCCCAAAGCGGAATACACATAAAACAGATTGAAGTTTCGGTTAGTAAATCAGATCCGAGTATGTAATTAAATCTCATAAGTAAATCAAAACAATGCTCCAATAATGTGATTGAATAAACGATCATATAGAAATAGATTTGTCACTGGATCTAAATCATAATTGAACAAAATGAAAATCAAGCAAATACACTGCAAACTCACCATTGTTGAAGATTAAAATTTAACCTCTTGATTGGAAATCCGTGACTGAATCCTGAACCCTAAGATCCCAGTGGGAGATCCGACAAGACAACTCGAACAGAGAGGGAACTAGACCGAATCTTCGTCCGAATTGAGATATTTGAAGGCCTTTGAGTTTCGATTTAGATTAAGATCCAGAGGGAGGTTCTGCTCCAATGATAGTGTGTCACGGGATGACTCTTTTAGGCTAGTCAATACCGTGTGCCACTTAGTGCTTCTCCGACTAAGTCAGGCTAACTTCGTCGATCTAGATGTACTAACGAACTTAGGAAGCAAGAGATGTGATAAAGAATGCTATGAAGTAAGAAAGAAAGCTTCTATTATCGACTCGGCTATTTTACAAGGCAATTTCCCAATGGTTTGGGCAAATGATCCCTTCTCCCTATTTATAGGAACCTTACACCTCCTCAAATGGAAGTTTCTAGGTCCCGATCATTCTTGACTAATCTAGACTCTTCCTATTATATACATGGATTTTACAAGATTCTAGAATATGGTACACTTGTCTACGATGCTCTAGAAATATGTAGGTCGTCCCGACATTATCCAAATCGTTCTTGTATGATCTAGCGTGTTCTAGATCGTTCCAAAGTCTTCTGGGTCGTTCTAGCTTCGTCTAGTGCCTTTTTGATTATTCTGGATCGCTCTCCTTTGTTCCACGAACATCTATAATATTCTAGTATCTTCCAGGGTCCCGTAGAGCATTCTTGATCTCTCCGGAGACTTCTCGAGTATACTTGATCGTTCTAGAGTTCTCTAGACGATCGTGGAATTTTCCAGAAACTTGGTTTGTGACACCCTCCCCCACTTAAACCCTTGACGTCCTCGTCAAGTCTTCTATACATATGTCTCGATCTTGTCAAGGAGCTACTTCGTGTCTTTTCTTTTTCTCCAAAGTATTGCTTCGAGTAAGGTGAGCTTTTATTTCTCAACGTACCTTGAATCCTACTTCTTCTCTCAACCTTATAACTTCTTGAGTAAATCTTCAAGGGGGATATGGATACATGTTCCTTCATGTATGCCTTGTTTAATCGAATTTCCCTTTTTGGCTTCATATTCTTCTTGATCATATTACTCTGGCAATAACACATGTGCATACTTCCTTTTCTCTCGGGGCCTTTATGAAACTTCATAGTTGAAAGGGTTCGAGCTTTTGTCCTGCTTCTTTCCAAGGGAATTATATGGATAATTGATCCCTTGGTTATACACATGGTGTTGTCTCTTTCGAACGACCAAGGACATACCATATCTAGGAAGTCCATTCCTAGTACCATGTGATAGTCGTCCATCAGAACCACTATCAAGTCGATGGTCCTTTCCCATTCTGCAATCTTCATGGGTATTCCACGAGAAATTCTGAGGGCCGGATTGGATGGAGAGTTGACAACTTTCAACCGACCTAACTCCTTTGTATAGTGAATACCCAACTTCTTGGCTTCTTCCTCTGCGATGAAACTATGTGTTGCTTCGGAATCTACTAGCTCCTTAGTGTTCCTTGCATTCACTTTGGCTTCGACGAACATGAGACTCCCTCCTTTATTTTCTTCCCTCTTAGATGATTTTATCTCATCTTTCGATATTGAGTTCAGAAAACGCATTGAGCTTATTTGTGCTTCGTCTTCTTTTTCTTGCAACACCATCACATAGAAGGTCTTTTTCTTCGGACAATCTCAGATCAAGTGAGGACCATCACACAAGTAGCACTTGATCTCCTTCCGTTCTTCTCTTCGGTATCTTCCTTCGATTGCTTTCCTTTCCTATTCAAAGGTCGGGGTGTGTCTTGTTTTGGTTCTGATTCTGACATAGTTTGTTCTCCCCCACCATTCTTTTTAACCGTGCTTTCTCTTCGAAATTCCATTAGATCTTCAGCCACGGCGATAGCTTCGTCGATGTCTCTAACATTTCTCCTCTTGAGCTCATTATAAGCCCAGGATTGTAGTCCATCCATGAAATAAAATAGTTTGTCTTTCTCTTGCATGTCGGGTAACTCTAGCATCAAGCTCGTGAACTCGACTATGTAGTCTCGGATGGATCCACTATGCTTTAGCCCATTAAGTTTCTTCATCGCTATGTCTTCAGCATTGTGTGGGCAGAATTGTCTCATAAGTTGCCTCTTGAACTCTTCCCAGGTGTCTATGGTGTATAAGCCATTTTCAATGTCTATGTGCTTCCTTCTCCACCATAGAGCTGCACTTTCACATAGGTAAAGGACTGTCGTATCGACCTTCGTCTTGTCTTCCTTTACTTGACTAGCAGTGAAGTAACATTCCATCGACCAAAAGAATTCGTCAAGTTCTTTAGGGTCGCATTTTCCTCCATACTTCAATGGTTTGGGTGCGTCTGTGTGTGCCAACTTACTCGCAACGGATCCTCTGACGATTGCTGCCTTGCACAAGTTTACTTCGACTTCCAACGTAGCTACCTTCTCACGGAACTCATTCTGCAAGGTGTTGATAAGTCCAAGGACTTCTTCCTTGATGACACCAATGCTGTCCTTCAATCCATCGCTCGTGTCACTTATCTCTGCAACGAACTGATCGACGGTATCCTTTCACTCAAGGATCTCACCGACGCTAATCTCCACCTTTGTAAGCTTGTTTTATAAGCTTGCCAAAGGGTCAACGGATTGGTTCCTCCTCCTGGACTTCCTTCCTTTCTCCTTGACGACAGGGGGAATGTTAGTTGCATCACTTCCTCCTTCCATTGCTACGATCTCTTGCTCGTACGAACTCTGGCTCTGATACCACGTGTCACGGGATGACTCTTTTAGGCTAGTCAATATTGTGTGCCACTTAGTGCTTCTCCGACTAAGTCAGGCTAACTTTGTCGATCTAGATGTACTAATGAACTTAGGAAGCAAGATATGCGATAAGGAATGCTACGAAGTAAGAAAGAAAGCTTCTATTATCGACTCGACTATTTTACAAGGCAACTTCCCAATGGTTTGGGCAAATGAGCCCTTCTCCCTATTTATAGGAACCTTACACCTCCTCAAATGGAAGTTTCTAGGTCCCGATCATTCTTGACTAATCTGGACTCTTCCTATTATATATATGGATTTTACAAGATTCTAGAATATGGTACAGTTGTCTACGATGCTCTAGAAATCTCTAGGTCGTCCCGACATTATCCAAATCGTTCTTGTATGAGCTAGCGTGTTCTAGATCGTTCCAAAGTCTTACGGGTCGTTCTAGCTTCGTTTAGTGCCTTCTTTATTATTCCGGATCATTATCCTTTGTTCCACAGACATCTATAATATTCTAGTATCTTACAGGGTCCCGTAGAGCATTCTTGATCTCTCCGGAGACTTCTCGAGTATACTTGATCGTTCCAGAGTTCTCTAGACGATCGTGGAATTTTCCAAAAACTTGGTCCGTGACAAACCTCTGTAAATGGTGAGAGAAAGAGGGTGGGGTTTGAAGATGCAAAGAAATGTTGCGTCTTTTTCGATTAGGGTAACA